CAGCATTTGGGGGACTGAATTTGAAGGTGTGTGCATGATATGGATTTCTGGCTAGTCTCTCCTTTCAGTGTACAGGGTGTAATGATACAATGGCTCTTCTCTACTTGCAAACTGAAGTAGATATTTATGTTGTTGCCTAGTTGTATTTTTATCCCACGCGAGAGGCATTATCAATATTTTATGGCATTCAAGATGAAACCAAAGAGTGTAGTACTGTAAGGAAAGGTATCTGTTCCTTTAAATCATGAAGAGCAGTTTATGGTGTTCTCTGTTGAGTCCTATTGTGGCTACCTTTCTGTATTTTGGTTGCCACAGTGTAAAAAAGATGTTGAGACTCTAGAAAGAGAGCAGAGAAGAGCAACAAAGATGATTAGGGGACTGGAGGCTAAAACATCTAAGGAACAGTTGCTAGAATTGGGAATGTCTAGTTTAACAAAGAGAAGGACGAGGGGGGACATGATAGCAGTCTTCCAATATCTCAGGGGCTGCCACAAAGAAGAGGGAGTCAAGCTCTTCTCCAAAGCACTTGAAGGCAAGACAAAAAGCAACAGATGGAAACTAACCAAAGAGAGAAGCAACCTAGAACTAAGGAGAAACTTCCTGACAGTTAGAACAATTAACCAGTGGAACAACCTGCCTCCAGAAGCTGTGAATGCTCCAACACTGGAGGTTTTCAAGAAGAGATTAGACAACCATTTGTCTGAAATGGTATAGAGCTTTCTGCCTGAGCAGGGGGTTGGACTAGAAGACCTCCAAGGTTCCTTCCAAATCTGTTTATCTATTATTTACCCCTGGACATACAGACACACTCTCTCCTCCCCCCCCCCTTTTCATTTCCCTCTCCTCCTCCCTCCCCCCACACATTCCTGTGTCATTGGTGGCCTCATATCAACTTTCTCTGGGCCAACCAGGAATGGGTGATCTTCACCGAGACTCATTCTGAATGGGAATGTTCTTTTTTCATGCCTTCTTCCTCATCACAATGAGGAGGAAGCCATGTGTGGGCTCAAACTAGCAGACCAGAAGTGTGATAGTTGTGTCCAAAAAATCAAAAAGCAATGGCCACATTTATGTGATTCAAATCACACCCCATGCTACAAATATAAAAAGGGTGGTGTTTCGATCACATGGTAACAGCCTCCATTTTGTTTTCCCCAGTTCTGCTTAAATAAATATATACTTTGAAGTTGAAAACTATGCTCAATTTCAGAAGACATTATAATAGAAATCAGTGGGAATTGCATATCTTTGTAACATGCATGATGTTGTCTAAATGAGAGAGTAAAATTAGAAATTTGGACAGCAGCATATTTGTTCAGAAAGATTGAGGGCAATAGAAGAAGGGGACAACAGAGAATGAGGTGGCTGGATGGAGTCACTTGAAGCAGCAGGCGTGAGCTTAAATGGACTCCAGAAGATGGTAGAGGACAGAAAGGTCTGGAGGAACGTTGTCCATGGGGTCATGATGGGTCGGACACGACTTCGCAACTAACAACAACAACATATTTGTTCAGATGGGAACTTTGGTGATCGCAGAAACAGAGTTTGGCATAGGGTACAAAACCAATGAAAGCAATTAAAAATACTATGCATCTGATTTCCTGAGCACTTTTTTGAAAATAGAATGAATTAATTGAAAAACGAGATCTTAAAAAATGAGGAATTAAATTAAAAGGTGATTGACAGGTGAGAAATGCAGAGGAGCTTATGACTCCTACGCTTTGTATTAGAAAAATCTTGGGGTACAACATTTCATGTTAATATTTATATTAAAATGAAATTGAAATTATTCAAAGACATTTGGCAGCTTTTATACCCATATTTGCAATTGTGCAAGTATTTATGCCGGTTTTACAAAAATATTCTCTTTAAAACAGAATTTAGTTCCCATAGCGGAGATGCTTCTTTTTACTGGTGGTGAGCTATTTCTTTTTGCAAGTGAAATGGACCCTTCAAGCTTGTATTTTGATTCATTCCTTAATGCACGTCTTTCTCCTCTGCTTCGGTTATTAAAATCCTGTCAGAAATATTCTCTGTGAGCTTAAAATTAGTGGAATAGGGATAATTCCACATTCTTTGCAGCACCAGAAATTATTCCCTTAGTTCAGACGTTACCCAAGCAAGCCTTAAATACGTAATTCTCTGTGAAAATGCCACCTACTGTAATTTACTAAGATCACTTTCATGTGCATAAAGACTCAGCATGTGAGCAACAGGAACGTAATGAGCACTTTTTGATGATTAAAAAGTGTGGATAAGGAATCCCATCTATTTTCTGTCTGAGTGGGCAGAACGTTCAGTTCAAAGGCTGCCAGAGGATAGTTCAGTCTCAGCACTGCTGTCCACCTTTGATTGAAAGAACTTTGCAATCTGCATGGCAAAGGAATTTGTGCCTAAAACAGAGGTATTAGGGACTGCAAAATTCTTGAAACCGTTGTTCTGAGAAGTATACTGGCTTGAATGTCACACCTCTCTCTTCAAAGAAAATGGCTGGATTTTGTGACTTTTTACATTTTCCTGCCCGTGAGCAAGCTACCATTACAGTAGTGGCCAAAATTATGGAAACCTTTTGGGAAAAGTGTATTTTTGAGGTTTGATGGCTAATAACCCCACTTTTTTTGGGAACAGTACCATAAAATTTATATATCAATGGAAAGATAATTTAATCAAGAATGTAATGCAACAAAGTTTGTTCAATTATCTGCACTGTATTTTATGAAAAGTTATAGCCAAATAACCAAAAAAAGGAAGCACAACTTGCTTAAGTTGATATCAGCTAGCTTTCCTTCATCTGATTGTAACCAATGAACACGAGTGTTTAGAGAGCCAATCAGGTGTCATCTTCTTTTGGCAATGAGCCAATCAGATCACAGTAGGATTCAGTGATTGATGTCATGTATTGAAGCTGAGAGGAGGACATTTGTCAGTGTGTTATGTGGTTGCTATCAAGTTGGTTGGGTTTTTTTGTGTTCTTTCATTTAGTGAGATTGTAAAACGTAATAAAATTAAAGTAATGGTGCAAAGAATTGACTGGTTGCCCAGAAAGTGATGTAAAATAGTATTATTAAGTGAACAAGGCTACAGTTATAGAGAAATTAGAAGAAAAATTGGTGGAAACTTAACCAAAGGTGGCATTTCTACTGTACACTTTTCCCAAAAGGTTCCCACAATTTTGGCCACTACTGTACAAATTGCTTTGGAAAGCTCCTGCATTGAAAAATATGGTCCCCCCCCCTCCCCAATTCTCTCCATTATCTGGGGAGTGGATGAGAAGATACTCTTTTTTTTCATAATACATTTGGAGAGGTATTATTAATAATGCTGACATCTGGATGCTAGCAAGTGAAAATACACAAAAGCTGAAAAGTTTTAAGTGGGAATCTTGTTTGAGTGAAGTAAAGGCTCCTGCCATGTTTCCCCAAAAGTAAGACCCCTGAAAATAAGCCCTAGCTTGATTTGGGGGGGGGCTAATATAAGCCCTACCCCAAAAATAAGCCCTAGTTTGGGGGTGAGGTGCACGCCTAAAAATCTAGGACAGGGGTGGGGGTGTGGAGCTGCCCCACATGCCCCATACCCACTTACCTTGAAGCCAGGCCTCTCCTTGCTGGCCCACTTCTTCTCCGGCATCCCCAGGCCTGCATTTCACAGTCAGACCTTTCCAGAAGGCCTTTGTAGCCGAGAACTGAGCTATGGATCCATAGCTCAGTTCTCCGCTGCAGTGGCCTTCCGGAAAGGCCTTTGGCTGCGAAATGCAAGCTGGAGCTCCATTCTCAGCTGCAGAATGAAGCTGCTCCTTCAGCCGCAGAAGAAGTGGGCTGGCTGGGCGGGGCTGTCGGTGCCAGAAGTGATGGAAAAGACACCCCCCCAATCGAAAATAAGACTTGGTACCTCTTTTGGAGGCAAAAAAAAATATGGAACTATTTCTGGTAGAGACAGGTTGCCCCCCCCCCTCCTTGCTAACCTCCTCAAATGGCTGAAATGTTTGAAATTTCCCAAGAGGTATCCTCTGAGTGTACATGTAGGACAAACTTTTCTTCTTCCACTTGATTGCTTTATTTTTGTGCAGGTTTGTTGGTTACAGGTTAGTTTGTGTTTGTTTTATATCTCATCTTCATGGACATTTTGATTTTTTTTTTCCTGTGTATATTCCATGGGAGCCTCCAAGAGCAATAGGAATGTCTTTAATCAAAATAATAATAATAAAAATAACACACATGATTTTTGACTTTCCATTTTTGGAATCCTGGCAGTTCTCCCCTTCAAATAATGACTAGGGTGGGCTGTGCTCATTTGTTTATTTGTGCCATTTCTATCCTGTCTTTCTTTCATGAGGGAAATCAGTCAAGAATCTCTGTACTAAGTTATGTAGACCGAGAAGAAATAGGAAAGGAGAGGGGGGAAATCTGTTTTTAAGACTGACATTCTGGCCATAAGGATGTCGCAGGGGCAACTGACTTGGTTGCAGGTCCTCCATGAAGTCCATTTGCTGAGGGATGTTTCGATTATTTCTTTGGGATGATTTCTTACTCTGTCTTTCCATTTCTAATTCGACAGAAATGCCTAGAGCTCAAAAACAGCCTGTTGGCCCAGCAAAAAGGGGTTCAATCATCGCTGGAACACCTCAAAACTCTCATTAGACTGATTCAGAATGAGCAGATGCTTCAGGTTACCATGACAACAACCACCTCCTCCTCCTCCTCCCTGCTGACTGTCCCCTGGACCAAACCATCTTCTGCCTCGGCTGCTGCTGCTGCTCCCCAACCCTTGCACTCGACACAGGGCAACAACTGACAGGGGCTTTTCCCCCCTCCCATTAGTGCATTTCCCCACACATACACACACACTTCTTCAGAAGAGAACCAATCCAACCAACAAGAACACTTTAAGTGCATGCAGGCATAAGGAGAGAAAAGATGCATCCAGAAAACTAAAAACCTGGGAAAACAAGAAAATGACATTGGTCTTCTTCCATGTCCTAAAAGGTGTGGGGGAAAAAAAATAGTAATAATAATCCCACCCTTGAGTTCCCCCTGGCAGCTCAATGTCATTATTTCCTTTTTTTTTTTTTTGCTGAGAATCTCAGTGCTTACAATCCTCCCTTCCCTTCGTTTGGTTGCTTTGGCCTTAATGTAATTAATGCAGAAAAGGATGCCGCATCGCTGGCCAGTGGAAGACCGGCGGCCTGGAGAGGCGGAAGGGGCCTGCCTCCTTTTCGGGCCCACACGCCTTTAGCAGAGGTGCAAAGAAGCTGCCCTTTGGGAAGAGAAATAGGTTGAAAGGCAAATTATTCGTGCCCTGGTGCAGCTAGATACCGATAGTAGACAGGCACCGAAAAGAATGGAAAATGGTGACTTTTTCTTTAAAAGAAAGAAAAAAGAAAGAAAGACTACTTTGGAACCTAGCCTGGGTTCCTGGTTTTTTTTTTAAAAAAAAAATGGATCAAGTGTCGTTTTCATTCAGGGCTATAGAGAAGAGTTACATTTGTGGACACTTTCAGAGCCTTCAAAATCAAATCTTTTTTTTCTCCAGTATTATAATTGCAGATATTTAAATAAAAATGTATGAAATTTACCATTTCTAGTGAAATATTGAAGTATTTTCATGCTGAGGCTTCTGTATATGCGTTCTGAAGTATTGAAAGAATTATGCCTGTAAAAACCCTTCATTTTAGCGGGTCCTCTTAACTTATTTTGCTATTGATGTATTTTTCTCATTGGGGGATATTTTGCTGTTGTTCAAGGTTTGACGATGATAGTAGTGAGAAATATTTTAATCAATTGGATCTTTTTAGTTGGAAGGGGGTTCTTTTCAGGGCTGTCCATACGGTAAGGTCAAAAAAGTCAAGATGGCAGCTGGGACAATGCAATCAGAACTCATCCGTTTTGTGGGGAATGTATTGATTGCTGTTCATGGCTGCCAGTTTGATTTTTTTTTTTACCTCATCCTGCAGCAGACATGACTGATTTTGAACCCCTCTGGGGTTTTGTGTTTTTTTTTTTAAGGGATAAAGCAAATAATATTCATTCTTGCTGCTTTTTAATTTTATCAAAACAGTACAAATGATATGCCAAAAAACTTAACTCTTTTGTACTGCATTTTTATTGTGAAATAGGAATTGTGAAAAAATGTTGGGGTTTTTTGCCCCCCCCCCCCCTTACTTGCAGAGCTATCTGCTAAAATTTACAAGACAGGAAATAAACTGCCTCAAGTGGTCATTTCTTTTATTGGATATATCGGGAGTTTGGGATGGGGGTATCTGATTGTGAAAACGTTTTTTAAAAAATTTCTTTTTATAATTTTGTTCAGTATTGAACACATGTGAAACATTAGCTTTAGCTTGAGAAGATGCTAGAAAATTGCCTATATTTCCTTTGACTTTTCACTAGCTAGTCTTCCTGAAAGCAACCGAGCTCAGACTGGACCCAGCATAGGTCAGATAGCCTATGCTGGCAGCTTGAGGCTTAACCTCTCAAGGTCTCGATGGGCAAATGAGTTTCTTGTCAGTGTGGCTTTTCCATTTTATAGCTCTGTTTCTCCTTTGCTTCCAAAGGATCACTATTTCAGAATTCAAGGGGTTGAAGGGGAAATGTAACGTTTTCTGAGGGATATAATAAAGATTAAATTGAAAGTAGCAGAGTATTTTAATAGCATTGGTTAAGGTTACTTTTTTTAGCAGAGGGATTGGGGCTGTTTAATTTTTTTTTAAAGGCAGCCTATGGACTCACAGACATGGCCAAAAACATAAGTCCTGAGAAGTAATATGGTCATCTTCGGAAAGGCAGTGAGAAAGATGGCGTTTGCCGCTCAATGGCGCCCTGAATTCAGTTCTGTCAGAAGCGAGGCTCTGTCTCTACGTGCCACAGGTGAGGTTTCTCACCTTTGCGTCTCATATGGTGCCGAAAAAGCTTTTTTCTTTTTTTTGATGGATTGGAAGCTGTCGACAGGAGGCAGCACACAAGCCCTTTTATCCATTTTCACTACTCCGGGAGAAACTGTGCAGTACTATACAAATCTATTTTAATACACTTAACACTCTGTTGAACAAGATTTTTATATTCTTTTATTGATGAACAAAAGTGAACTAAGTAAAACACAGTTGCGATACATTGGTTAGGTATATCAATTTATGCATTTGAACATAGCTTGCAATGTAAATGTTTGGGGATTTTATGTTTTTCTTCTCAGATGAATTTAAGAAAAATAAAGGGTGGGGGGAAGCATAGAAAGTTTTTTTTTTAATTGGGAAAACTTTCTGAAAAAGTGCTTTTCTGGGACTCTTAAAAAGTAGTTATTTTGGAAAAGGGACTGTCCCGTGGATAGTGTGCATAGAAAACAAATTGTTTTGTCTTAAATATACCAATGTAGTTTACTTCTTTAAGATGAATTAAACTTGACTGACAGATTTAAAACTGGTGTGGTCACTGAGGTGTACTTGTATTTTTCCAGATCTTGCATGTGTTCTCTTGTAATTTAAATAAGAATTATTTTGTCATGGTTTCTGTTACCACTGTTCTCTACCTTTTTCTTCTTAGGCCTTTAAGACAAAAAAATTATCTTCTCTCCAACAGTCCTTAAATGAACTCTGCTTTGCACTGTCCTACATTTGCAGGTAGTGGAAGTGACAACAGATGAACTACCATTCAAACAAAAATGAACTTTATAAACCAGGCACTTAAAACATAATAAACAAAATCTATCATGCCTTTTAGTTGTCTTCAATATTTGATTTTTGCTGTTCTCTCTTATATGTGTCAATAGTCTTAAAAATAACATGTCTTTGATCTGCAACATTACAAAGTAAAATTAGACTTTGTTAAGATTTTGGCACATTAAAAATATAGGGGTTTTTTTCTATCATAAGCCAAATCTTTCAAATTCAAAATGCTCTATTTTTAGATCAAACACTGTTCCAACTTTGTTGGAAATATTTGGACATTATTCCAACACTTAGAAATGTCAAGCATCTCTAAGCCTGGGACATTTCCAAAATGGTTAAAATAGTTCTTTTTATAAGTGATTAAAAGACATCATAAACATTATGAAGTGGAAAATTTGTTAAAAAGAATAGTGGGCTGTACATTAGAAAGATTAAAAACTGATTTTCTGAGATGTCCCAATAAATCTCAGATGAAATGAAACTTTTCAAAAGGCTGCAACAACGGGTTCCCAGTGAGTGAAATACTGAATTTTCTACCATATTTAGATTGCATAGTATTACTAGCATGGCTGAGTTTACCTATTTACTGGGCTTTTTTTTCAGTTCAATTTCAGTTGTTGACACCCATTTCAGCATTTTTTTTTCTCGATCATCCAAGTGAGAAGCTGGAGGTGCTTAAAACGGAGCCTACAATAGGACAGATGAGAGCAGGTAAAGTGATTACAGATGAATGCAAATGCTGGGGCAGACTACATGTCTTCTTAATAGAAGGAGAATAGAGGGAATAGAAGGGGAACTCATCAAATTTGCAGACAACACTAAACTGGCAGGAATAGCCAATACCCTAGAACAGTGGTTCTCAACCTGTGGGTCGGGACCCCATTTGGGGTCGATCGACCATTTCATGGGGGTCGCCAAGCAAGGCTGTCCGCCATTTTTTTTGTCCGCCATTTTTTTCCCCTTTTCCGGCGGGTGCCTTACCTCCCTTGGGCTGGGCCAGCTGGTGGTCGGCCTGCTCCATCTCTGCCGCTTGCCAGCTACGC